TAATAATTATATATCTTAGTAATAAAATATTATAATAAAATAATTTTTGATAATATTTTATTGTATATAAAAGAAATGTGATAGCAATTAAGATGTAAGCTCGTTATAAGAACTTTAAAAATAAATACGTGTAATTTTAAAGTTTTAACATATCTATACAAGATATTTTCTGTTTTAGAATGAAACATATGAGAAGATACGTGAAATAAGAGAAACCTTTATATAAACAAAAGTTTGCAATAATTTTATTTCTGAAATATATAATATAAAACTATATATNCCTTTCTTCAAAGCGATCGATTGGGAAATGGTAAATATATTGTCGTGACGCACAAATAAATAAATATATATATATATATAAATTTATATATAAATTTTATATATATATATATATAAATTTATATATAAATTTTATATATATATATATATAAATTTATATATAAATTTTATATATATATACATATATACACACACTTGTATTTTTTTGAACGCAAATGCAATATTGTAATCGGAAAAAAAATATATTTATGTATAGCTTTATAATATATATCTTAGATATAAAATTATTGCATTCTTGTTTATATAAAGCTTTTTCTTTTTTCATATATTTTTATGTGTTTTTTTAATGCAATTTATATAAGAAATGAAACCATTCTTATATGCAATATTATTTAATAATTGAAGTAACACTTTATTATTGCATATTCGCTACATTGCAATATTGCTATGATGTTTCGTTGCAATCTTCCTAAAAGCGGAGATTTGAACATTGCTGCAATTCAACAACAATGATGCATCAATATTTCACAGTGAAATGGTAATATTGCAACATTGAGGTGAAAGATTCCTGCAATGTATATGCAATATTTGTGTGCTGTATGAGTGATATATACTAAAGATATATACTTAGTAAAGATATATACTAACTATATATAGTAAAGATACTTGCTAATTATATAACTATATATTAATGTAAGAGTATGTAAGAGTGAAATGCAATATATAGATATATGTGCACGAGGAAACGATTGATTTAAAATTGGAACAAGCGCGTAAGAGCTTTCTCTAACTGTGCATCATTTTTTTAAAGTTTTTACATTTTATTTAAAGATATTTTAACTTTTATTATTTTTTAATTTTGATTGAATCTAAAACGGAAACCTCTTTACGGAACCAATTTGTATCGCTGATCTTGCGTATGTACTTGCGATGTAATAAATATCCATGTATGTACAAACGTTCCAATTCGAAAATTGAGAGTCAATTCAGGTTTAATCTAATTGAGCGATAACTGAGCGATAACGACGACAATAAAATAAATGTGATTGTAAGATTGTGAGAGGTACAATATGTAAACCAAACTTGATAACGAGTGCCGCATTTTCTTTGATAGCGTAAACAAGAAACTTATTTAAATAAAAAGAATTAAGCAAATGGCAATAACAAGCTAACACCAGATGTTCGGGTATAATTCTTTTATAATTCTAAGATTTTTAAAAAGTTTTAACAAACGTTTTGATTCACTATGAGATCTTCTTCAGTGTTAAAAAAAAAAAAAACTTACAAAATTAATGATCTATTCAAGATCATGAAGAATAAACTTAGAAAAATATAAAAAATAAAATTAAACATTACGTGTCTTTTGAGCTGCATTTTCAGAAAGCGTGTTATCAAGCTATTGTGTTTTCTATTGTGTCATTCTATCTTTGTTTTAATCTAAGAAGCGATAAAGAATGTTGTAATAGAATGTTGTAATAGCGCAGATAACATGCTCTCCAAACGCGCAACTCCGGACAAGCTTAAAACAAATGAGCGCGATACAATAACATGACACATTTTTTCATATTGAGAATTGCTGCATTCAGCAGGACACTCGACTTTGCTTTTTTGTAAGCAATCGAACGTGATTACGGTAATTATATACAAAGTAGTCGTTCTCACCAAGTTCAATGACCTTGAAATATGTTAAACGTCATTCTGAACAACTTTTCTCTATACATGTTACCGCCGCTCGGCTGTAGTTTTCGAGATACACTAAAGAAGTTTCATAAATAAATCTTTGTTTTCTAACACCATGTCAATTTAAGAAGTAAATATTTTGACTATATGACATGTGTAGGCAGGAGGACTTCGCCTCTGCATCTGCCCTCCCTCCCCCGAAGAAACCTAACTCAACGTACGATGCATAAAGAGCCGTCTACAATGGAGAGTTGTAGGCCGTAACAGTAAGAAATTGACAAATCACAATCGATTATTCTTCTGTACTTTGTCTGTGATTGGTCAATTTCTTACTATTACGGCCTACAACTCTCCATTGTAGACGGCTCTTAATGTATATTACTATTGCAGTAATATATTAGAGATTGAGTTCAGTTACGTTTTTTAAGGAGAGGGTGGTGCAAGGGGAGATGCGGAGCTTCTTCCCCTGCCTACACGCTTACAACATTATATTGCCGAATTTTTGGAAAACAAGAATTCATTTATGAAAACTTCTTTTGTTTATAACTCGAAAACTAGAACCAAGCGGCAGTAACATGTATAGGGAAAAGTTGTTCAGAATGACGTTTTTAACAACATATTTCAAATAAAATCAAAGAGGATCACTTTGTATATAATTACCGTGATTACTTGTAAAACCAACAAATCAAAATCAAGTGTTGACAAAACGATAACTCAGCAAGTGTTCTTCTGAACGCGTATTCTCAAACGTACGCAGTTATGTGTACGCAATTACGAGTTATGATGTTCTGTTGTAAGTGTGTAGTCTTTTTACACATAAAAGAGATATATTTCGCACATATATACAGTGTGTGATTCTTGCCGATCTTACTATTTCTCTCATATAATTTAATATTAAGAAAGCTTTGTATGATCTATACAATTTATATATTTTTATGTGTTTTTTTGTAAGTATTCCGCGTGACAAATGTATCAAGTAAAAGAGCCGAAATGACCCGACAGAAGGAATCATCGCGTTTGTGTTTGCAACGAAATGCCATATTTAGTAGGTACAAATAGGAGTAATCGTCAGCCAATTAGATGCGTCGGGAGAGGCGTAGTTAGACGAAACTTTGGGTGGCTAGGTGCGCCTCGGATAATCGCGGCCATAAATAACATTTAACGGGAGAGTCGGTGCTCTAATTGCTAATGATTACCACGAGTCGTACGAGAAAAAATTGCCAATTTGCATCAAATGCTCGGCCATCTCACTCATTTCCCGCTTCGTTTACTTACCGTCCGTTCGCTCGCTTGCTTGCCCGCTCGTCGGATTATAGATAAGCAGTTTCGCCTGTGTGACGTTAAATCACCTTTCGTTATCCAACAACGCTCATTCCCCCGCTAAACCCTGTCGAGATATGTCGATATTAAAAAGCATTGCAAGCGCATTAATTCTCGGAAAACAAATTGCTTCGTAGATGGCGTACTTATTTATGGATTTTCGAGGAGACGCAAGTGTTCGTCATGGATGCGATCTCTCAATCATTTTCTTTTACGCGGGTATCTGACCGCAAACTTTTTTTGAGTAATAATGCAACAAAAAAGAAAACTATTGACTAATTTATATAATTCGTTAAAATAACGTTTGGTATCAACAATTTTTCTTGCACTTATTTGATTTTGTGAATATATCGAAGTTTCTATTTAAAATATTCGCGATGTGTTGCTAAAAAAGTTATTAAATATTAAACTCAATTCTCTCATAATCTTAGTAATACTTGTGATTCTGAGCAGCACGAAGGATGGGGATATTGCGTTGCTTTGCAGCTTCGTCATAAATTCGCGATGTTCAGCCGAATTTCGAGTCAATTCGTGCGAATCGTGCTACAATCGCTCCCTTCGCGATCTCTCCGGTCGCTTCCTCTTCCGTTTCTTCACTTTGGCTTCTTTTTTTCCGGATACGTAGAGAGGGTTCGCGTTCGCACCCGAATAGAGTTGGATGCCGCTCTCCTGAATACACAATGCGATTTATTCGAAACGTGGCGTATAAAACACAAAGGACCGCGTATGATTGGTAAATTATTGAGGCCGACTAGATTTGTCGGCCAATCACGTAACGCTCTTAAATAATTCAGGGGAAATACGAGAATGTAGCATGCAAAAGGGAAGCTCCAAGACGGCAAAAGTCATTCCGCGTGTTGATCTTGCGTCGCGAATCAATATTCGTCGCAGAAACAAGAGCGTAAACCTTTAAGAAGAAACAGGAAAACGATGTGTTTGGTTGTCCCATGCCGTAATTTACTACTACGATTGTTGCATAACATTGAAACAAATTTATTAATACTTCTCTATGATAGAGAACTATAATACAAAACGTATCTATATTACTTATATTATATATTAGAGCAAACGTACACACTTCCTTAATTAATATCTAGCTTCTTTTTTTTATATCTCGTAATCCAAGCGCAATCAGTACCTCACATATCTACACATATAACGCTGTCTGTTTTATGCGGAGAAAGCAATACAACGTATAAAAAGTATTTTGGTCTGTCTTGGTAAGCAATTTCGAACATTGTATGAATATGATAAATGTTTCCTTTTAGCAATTGCAATTGTTTTGTCGAAAAGTCTTCATATTATTTAGGAACTATTGATTTTATTCTGGAATTGTTACAGTTTTCGCCGCAAAGGCCGCAGCGTTTCCGAAAGGAATCGCGTTTTCTTTGGTTGGGAAAACTTCGACGCACTTCTCTTGGTGTACATTAATGACTTGTCATGTTGTAATATCAAAATTAAGTTGCAAATAGAGTGAAAGTGATTATCAATGCAATTTGGTAAAAAATATTCGTGTAAATATATATGTTATACATTTTGCGAAGAAAAAGTCAAAAGACGCGTTAATAACTTGGCACTCATTATTATTTATGTGTATTATAATATATATTTGTTATTTATATAATAACTGAAAATTATTATAACATTCATACACATAATATATACTTTTAATTAGATAATAATTTTTGAAACAAACTTTTAAAATGCTATGTGTACAAGAAAGTAAAATACTTTTAAAATGCTATGTGTACAAGAAAGTAAAATACTGTCAATTCAACATATTTATATTATTATATCACATAAAATTGCATAACGTAAAAAACATTTACAAAATTATTTGTTAACAAAATTGTTTAACAACGAGCTCACAATCAATTCCAGCTAGCTTCGTGGAATACATATTCGAATATCTATATCCTAAATATTTCCATCAATAATCAACAATAATGATAGCCTCTCTCCATCAATCGGAGCAGAGAACAAAGATTTTTTATGCTATCTCATACTTAACGTGGCCGGAAAAACGTAAAAGTCGTGCCTTTCTTAACGGTTAACCATCAACGGTTGCCCGGCGCAGCTGTTATCCTATTATCGTTTGACATAGGTACTTTTGGCATCGACGATGAATCTCCGAAGAGTCGAAAGAGGAAATAAAATATCTTTCCCGACTATACGCGAGTATTCCTTCGTGATCCGATACGATCGGCATAGAGGCTAGAGAAAACAAGAGAGAAAGAGAACGAGAGAAACTTTGGACATAACTCAGCCTCGTTATCTGACTCGCAAATAAGGCAGCGGAAAAGTTCGCGACATCAATCTGGGCTTTTGCCCGGAGATTCGAAGTTGAAACAATGCTTAAGTCACCCCTAACATATGAGCCCCATGGGAAGTGGCGAGCGGTTGCTATTGCTGCTGCTGCTGCTGCTGCAATTGCGTTGCTCTGCATGGCCGATTCGATCTCGTCCGATACTTGGTCTTGGTCCGGCAAGACCCTCCGAGGGTCATCTTGTGTACCTTCCGTCGTCCTCGGTGAGCATTAAACGCGAGACACTAAACTTTATTACCATCTCTGTAGTTTCGGGTTTCTTGTGACAGCGGCTGCTGAGGATATCTTGAATATCGGCCGAAAGTTTCAAGTCGATACATGCGTGAACAAAAGTCCGGAAAAAAACATCGCGATATATTTTTTTAGTCCGTAAGTTTCTACACACACACACACGCACACAAGTTTCTCTTCTGATTTTTTTCAATTGTATTGTATTTTGTCCCTTTTTGCTATTTATATTAGCAGTTATAACATAAGTCGCACAAACTTGATTAATTATAATCTAAAGAGCACCACAAATATATCGCCATAGTTGACGAATATATGTTTCGATATCTATCTACTTATCTATTTATCTATTTTATTTATCGTCTAGCCAGTCGAGCATGGGGAAGACGCCCTAGTTATCTCGATATATGAATGTTTCAGATATATGAATCTAATTTACAATAAATGAAAAATAAAAACAGAAGTGTTTTTTCAAACTTATATATATTTAAGTTAATTTGAACTTTTTAATATTCTTCCCGCACATTCTCTCTTTTTCTCTCTAATTCATATCGGAAAATCTATTCAAAGAGACGGAATGATAAAATACTCAATTGCGAACTGACATGTAACATACGGCGTAGAAGAAATGGTTGATTTTATACAATTTATCATCAGTGTTTGTGAAATATTATTACCTATAGACATATATTTTGAGACGCGAAACATCGTGATATGGTTTTATTAATCAAAACACATATCTAAATTCTCGTTCGCCGCTTATTTCGCTTATAATCATGTCGCCGAAGCGTTGTATATATATTTTTTAGAATAGAGCAAAGCAATTTGAATACTTACTTAAGAACACTTTTAATATTGACTGCCAAGAAAGTTTAAAAACCAAATTAAAAAGTACAAAAAATATATTATTTCTGCATATACTTCGGCAATATTTAAATAAATCACATCTATAACACTATAAAGAAATTTGAGAGTATCTAAATTATTTTACTGGAATTAATCAAACGTACAAATATGGAGCGTTGTTTAGATAAAGGATAATGTGAATAAATGAAAATAATAAAATCAAACTGTTGATATTTTAATAGTTTAAATATAGTCTCGCGTTCTGCGCACATTGCTTCGCTGTATCCTATAATTAGATAATAATCATTTATTTACACAAACCAAACTTTAAGTTCGTCAATCATCAATCATGACAAAGCAAGCCGTCTTATAATATACGAATAATATATTATAATACATTGTATCCATACGCGGTAACGATTTGTTCTGCGATCGATCGAAATTTCGATAACTCAGCGATACTTTTTAATAGTTCGAAAATTATTCGATTATACACACACGAATATTCGATTTGCCGCGTGAAAGTCACGTGCCACTGATCCGTACTGATCAGCATGGCAAGGCTGAACGAAAAACGAAAGATGAAGGATGAGAGCGACGCGACTGATTCCACGAATCGCCCTTCGCGCGCGACTCAATCGATATATCGGCGCTTACTTGGTTTGTCATTTGGCATCGTACGATGCTTGCGCATTGATACCGTTTAAATTATTCATAGGGTTCAGGACGTTATGGGCGCTCGAGCTGGCTGGCGCTGGATATCCGTTGTGGTTATGAGCCGTCTCCCCGTTTGCCTGACGTTGAGGACCACCCGCAGCTACGTTCTGCAAGATAAAAGAAGACGTGTGAAGATTGTATCAGCTAGTGTGCGCGTGGTGTCGTTTCGATCGGTCGGTTTTCTCTTTCAATTTGGTCCGATCAACGATCTCGACTTAACGAAAAATTTATGTGATCGGTAGCACACCTCCTTTATGAAGTGCGTCGTACACAAATATGTTTGCCGTAAAACAGCAACAAATGCGATCAAAGCAGTATTATTCGTATATTTCTCTATCAATCTATACAAAAATACACGTTTATTTTCCTTTTAGTCTTTTTTTTTTAAACAACATTTTGTCCAACAACTAATTTTTAAATTATGAGTTATATCAATGCGAGTGATACCGTACCACTGTAGGTGAATCACACTGACCGCCTTAGTTAACAAATTCTGGTTAGTGACTCGTGTCCTTGTCTAGATTATAACTCTAGCTGTAACATAGATTGAGAAAGAAAATTTTAATTAACCATGGTTATTGTCGCTGATCAATGTTACTGCAAATGCTCGTAATTACGGTCTGTAAAGCAAAAACAGACGCGCGGTCGACTTTCTCTCTTAATCTCGGCGCGATCGATGATTATTAGTAATTGAAAATATATATACATATATATTATTATACATGAATATATTTAAAGTTTATTTATTTATTAAAAAAACATACGCGTACACGACTAAAGTACATTTAAAGTTTTATTATCTAAAGAAAATCTTACAAGAAGATTTAGATATAAGATATCACACATCAAGCAAAAATCAAAGGTGAAGTTTAATCAATAGCATATCCTGTGCAATTCATTCATTTCATTTGGAATTAATTGCCAGAATTATTAATTATCAAAAATGTGATTTGTTAAATGAGTCATGTCACTGGTTCTGATACATGGGCTATAAGTAAAACTTGTAGACATTTACGAAAAAAAATTGATTTTAATATTTTATATAATGATTCCGTATAGCATTTAACTTATTATGAATATTCTTAAGCTCTTAAACAAAGACATATGCGAAATGAGAATGACATAAATGAATTATTATTCTTTATACTCTCAAGATTAACGAGCGATTAAACGTATATATTAGAAGACCTATGAGACAGTCAATTTGTAATTCTGAAGAATTTAATCCGGTTAGAGAACAGCTTATTTATATTCTGTGATTTAAATCGGCCAATCGTTTGGTTCAATCAGCTTCGTTAAACTCAATTTTAACAATTATTCACGACGCGGCATGTAAAACCCACACGGAGTCACACCCTTTAGATTAAGGGGTTGACAATGCTAACGAATTCACGAATTCCTCTTTCCCTCGTCTTTTCTCTAACGTGCCATCTAAGATTCCACTTCAAAAACAAAAGACTCAAGGAATAAACTTGTATCTCAATGCTCGAGTAAAATAGAAGGGAACGGCTCAACTCAACTTGATTCTCTCTTTCTCTTTTGTCCTTGTAACCGATTCTTTATCCATCTTTGTCTTCGTTTGGAAGCCATATTTACGTGCCAGTGATGCTTAGAGCATCTCGTAGGAGAAGTTGAAAATGTATTGGGCCTACGTAAGTACCATCGGAAACTTCGAACTTTGTTCCCTTTTCTTCTCTCATCCTACCGATCCACTTCGTCTTTCGAATTTCGTCGCCGTCTCATCTTTTCTCGCGAATACGCGTGCCTCTCTTTTCCTTCCTCTCTCGCTGTCTTTCTCTTCAGTTTCTCTTAGTTTCTGCAGTAAAGGTGTTAAATTATACAGGCTTAAAATTCGGCAGACCGTGGCTCAGCCTCTCGCGACGAGATCCTTTCACGCCACAATTTCAGTCCGTAAGTTGATCATACTAACTTTCGCACAGCGTCAAATTAAGCTTCCGTTTTCAGCAATTACCGCGCGTACGTCCTTGGAACGTCTTGAAATATGTAACAAATTGTCGTTAATTTAAAATGCAATCTGTTTTTTATATTTCAACAAATATAAAAATGGAAAACATGTTGCAACTTTTTTTACGTGTCATTTTATTTAAGTTTTGTTTGCTTACTAAATGCAAAGGCGGAATAAGGACGAAAATGCAGATTTTTCACGAGGCCCCGTGAAAGATGTTATCTTCAGGGGTGTCTTAATAAAGCATTTTTCTTATTCTAAAACGTGAAAAAACGCAGCCGCGGTTGCACGGAGTAATTAACTCGTAAATAATTACGATAAAAATGACAAAGAGCTGCTAGAGAAATGTTTTATCATCTGTCTCCATGGCAGGAGTAACTTTTTTCTTAAGAAGGATCCTTAAATCTCGTCGCCGTGAGAACCCTTTCTTCTATAACCACCAGAATTTCTGTCTCTCTCGCACTTTGCGTTTTCTCTCAATGTACGAATATATCGAATGGTCTCTCTCTCTCACACACACACACACACACTCTCTCTCTCTCTCTCTCTCTCTCTCTCTCTATCTCTCTCTATCTATATCTATCTTTCTCTCTGTCCTCGTTCTTCTATCTCAAAAGGTCCCTTTCGTAATTAAGAAATCTCCGTGGAAGGCTCGAGAGCGCCGTTGAACGCTACTGTGGGTTAAATTAAGTCTATGACTTATTCAAGTTTTATCTACAATTGCCAGAGAAGGAATTACCGTGCTATGGATTTACTGCCGAAGTCGTAATCAAACGGCACGCGCTTTGCGGGATCTGGTGTTCGGATACATAGATAGACTTTTATGTACGCACATACAAAATGTCTGAGATTCTCATCAAAGTCAGACACATCTTCTCGATGTATAATTGTTCGAAATTATGTTAAGCGTTAGAAGATAAGTTTAGCGATATATAGTACTATTATATCATTCTCTGAAATTATATTACAGACGTAGTGATGAGTTTTCGAGTGCGAATGATAAGCGTACAGGTTTTTCGCGTTTATACTCGCTCTTTACTTACCTACGCGCGCTATAATCTTCTCAGTTTTTCCCAACACTCGAGAAAACTTTGCTCGCGAGAATAAGACATTAATCGTGACTCGGCGCGAGGGTGGCGAAGCGGGGCCGGGTAGTTTGTAACTGACGGTAAATGCGTAGCATAGCCATCGCGAGGGCTTAGAAAGAGAATCGCGTGTCATTTGTCCGTTGATCTCCCGCAGATGGGAATCGGCCAGGTGCGCGGCTCGTTTCTCCGCGGCGCGATCTTTTCTTACGCGCAAAAATTAGCGCCACCCACTGAGCGCGCTTAGGTCGAAGGCGGGTCCCGACACGAGATGAGAATTAAGCAAGACGTCGTTAATCGCTCCGAGATCGTTCAAGAGTAGAAGTTACTGTCTAATGATTCAGCGCGGCCGTTTTCTGATTTGATTCTTTGTCGCAAGGAGAAAAGAAATTTATTAACATCATGTGTGAACTAAAAATATATTGTAAACATTAAAAGATTTTTATTGATTGGTTTGAACTAAAACTTCTCGATCAATTTGATTTAAATTAGCGCACATTTTATTTAAATTCCTTTACATTGCATGTTCAAAGATAAATTTCTTTTATTTCACGCGTTTATACGGTTTTTTTGTTGTTTATTGTATTTTTAAAAACCAAGTATGTTATGATTATATTGAAAGTTGCTCCATTTCAATGCCAAAGCAAACTTAAATTCTTGTGACGGGTCCATCACCACGCCCCTCGGTAATAATCGTTAGAAAAGTAAGCTCCGGCCACGTAGCACATAGCTCTCTCTCTCTCTCTCTCTCTCTCTCTCTCTCTCTCTCTCTCTCTCTCTCTCTCTCTCTCTCTCTCTCTCTCTCTCTCTCTCTCTCGCTCTCTCTCTCCGAGTTGTTTCCCAACTAAACTCATAATCTCGCATAAGCTCGCAAGCCGGGCTTTCCCATGCGAGCTTTCTCGGCGCGCGCGTTGTATAAGGGGCCGCGCGGAGGCTTACGTGAAATTCAGCCAAGCACGGTGCACCTAATAATGCGCTCGTTAACAAGAACGACGTGTACACGCGCGTGCGAGAGCTCGTGTATACACTGCCTTTCTCTCTCTCTCTTTTTCTCTCTCTCTCTATCTCTCTTCTTGTCACGACATCGGTGGCTTGCGCCTAACATTTGACCAAGAAGTAATCTAATCGGTTGATCGTTCGACGATCGATCAGACCAGTGAGAAACTTCGTCAGATCAAAAAATATTGTTCCCTCTTCTTTTCTGATATTTTAAAGTCATATAAGTTTTGTGCACCTATTTTAATTTTTTTCAAGTTTAATATATAAAAATAAACACAATTTTAATTAAATTACGAGCATGACGTTCATTGTGCGCAATTTTATGACATTCTCTGATGTAATTCTAAACAGATCGTATTCGCGTATAGAGTATCTACAATGAAGGATTAATGATGGACTAATGGCTTTGTTCAGTACGGGAATATGCCTGTGGCTCTGTATAGTACTGCATTTGATGATGCACGTCCATTTCGCTAAACGCTACATTTCGAGGGATTAACCGTGCGCTACATTAATTATTATTAATGGTATCATATCCTATTCTGACACATTCTATTCGGATATTCTAATGCACACGTCATATCGATATTCCTAACTGTTTCATTTATATCGAAACAACTATTTTATATCAGTCACACGAATGATCTATACAATATGTAATAAGAATTGAGAAAGTATGCACGAAACAGAATACTTTAAGTAGATTTAAATGTATGATATTAACTCATACGTTATTACGTGTAAGTACACATATTAATCCTTTGTGGCGTTAAAACTGACGACCAGTTAGTCAAAAGGGGAAGGGGTCTGTAAGACCCACGCGACATTAAGATCGAATATCTCCGCAAAAAATCAATTTTTTCAATTTTTTTGTTTTTTTAATCGAAAGTTCGAACACTTTTACGTCGATAAAAAACAAATTGAAAAAATCTCTAGTATTTTCGAAGATATAAGCGTTAAAAAAAAAATTAATTTTCTCTAGAAACGCCGATGCGCAATTTCTGAGTGAGTCTGGAAGACCACGTCTGACCACGAAGAGTTTATGATAGCTCGATTAACATTTATTTTAGTAACAGCATATATTAATACTAATATTTTTCTTAAAAGAACTATATAAACATGGGATCTCTCTAAATCTATTTCTTTTTCTTTATGAATTTGATTTGATACCTACGTTTTTGTTATGTACGCTTTTATTAATTTCGGAATAAATAAAGATTAAACATTCGGGTCCAAAGTATATAAAAGTTGACGTTAAATCAAGAGTTTAATTTTGTTAAAATTAGTTCGCGTTCAACAAACTTTCAAGAATCTAATCGCTTAGAAGCAATATAGAGGACGTTGTAATGCCTCATTCCCCGTACAAATCTCGTACTGCGCATTGATCCTCTTAAATTCCCATGTACCTTCCGTCTTGGCATTAGCATATTATCTCACCTCCGCGGCCTCCCTTTGCCCCTCCTTGCTTCAACCCCCTTCTGGCACCTCTCCCTCTGATTCGCAAAAGACTTTGCAGACATTCAAGAGTTTGTTTTAAAACTCAGATAATCGTTCCAAACTCTCCTCGCGTCTTTTTCTATCTCGTTCTCGGTCTTATTCCGTGTCTATATCTTTCCCACTACGTTTCCTCTCTCATCTCCCCTCTCCATGTCCTGCTAAGTCCCGAGGGGAAAATTAGACCGAAATAAAAGTTCTCGCCAATTTTTAAGCGCGTTACACTTGTCTCTAAGGAGGATGAGATTGCCGCGCGACTCCTCGATCGAAACTCCTCATCTGGAAATGGAGCTTCACGAGTATTTTCTTTCATTGTCACTATTTGCAGAGCAACGATATTGTTCTTTAATCTACTTTCTTATGAGAATGTAAAAGTACATTGTGTTTTTTTATTTTAAAATTACAAAATTATTAATTATGCAAATCTAAGATAAGTTAAAACAGAAAAAAACAAGAATTTCATGTTGATATTTGATTTGAAAATGTAATCGATGTCAAAGCAATTCTCATAATAGCATTCTAAAATGTATGATAAAGTTTTAATAGCTACATTACTTATAGTTGATATTTAATAACTATATAATAGTTGATATCAGAAACGATTCGTCATTTCTTTGTCAAGACGAGACTCGATTGTCGATGCTGACGGCTCTGAAGGCGATTCAGTCTCGCCGCTTCTCTTCACTCACTCATCCTCTCTCTCGATTTACCCCGGATCAGGCATACTCGAGTTATTCGTAAGCAACACTCCCCAGCATTATTCGCCAGAAGCGTGGAAGATCCTTATTCGGCTGAGAAAGATTGGGACAGCTGTCTGTTCTCAGGCAATCAGAAAAACTACCATCGTCGCCTCCCTTCCAACTTTCGCTCGCGCTACTTCGGGCCACTCCCCGACGAGCCACAGCTTAAGAAGAGAACAAGGGTGGCAGCTACCTCCGGAACGAGCACCCTCTTCGCGGTTTTTAAGAATCTTAACGCCTTCTCTCTCTCTTTTTCTCTTTCATACTTTATAGATGCTCTCAATTTCGTCTTTACGCTTTATCACATTTTTTATTTTTTACTTTTTTAAGTACTACTGATTTTGATTATGCGTATTGTTTAGTCTATTAGTTGATGTGATTCTATCAATTTAGTTTGATGCATTTGCAGTATATTTTAGTATATTTGCGATGTTATTTATAGATATATGAGAAACACAAACCTGTATGAAGTATAGTAAGTATGTAATTTCTCTTATTTAGATGAAAAATGTCAATCTTTTGGTTAGGTAAACGGAACAGTAGGCATCTTGAGTGTTCACCGCGATCAACGGTATTTACGCTCCAGGAACGAGATGTCAAGAGGGATCCATCAGGCTTAGCGTAATAGATGCGCAGACGACATTAGCATGCCACGCCGATTATTGGCATTAGTCTGCCATCCCGTTATTTCGCACACCGGTCATTTATAACCCGTAAACCCCTCCAAGCGAATCGATATTGCGTGTGAAAGCCGTTGGATCCGCGCAATATCGCAGAATATACGAACGTGCCAATTTTTCTCGGTTGTTGACGGCAGCAGAAATTTGCAATGAAAAAAAAAAAGGAAGAAAAAAAACAAACAAATTTTATTTCCCCGCGCGTTTTGGCCAATAAAAATATCCCACAGTAATTAAAGCGGCACGCGTCGCGCTTGAAGACGAGAGTTCGCGGCGAGTTGACAACTTTTAAAGACCAAGACATCACCTCGACCTTCGTCGAGGGTGATTCACACGCGCTCCGTGGGTGTCCCTGAAAAAATGTTTACACGGTATATTTTCACTCACGCGAACCGATATTTCTTTAAACATTATAACCAGCTTCCACACGCACGCACGAGAACGAAGGAGCTTGCGACGTTTACATGGCGCAGGAATAGAGTCGCAAAGGGTTACCAACCCCCTGAATTACACGCAGCTCGCCGGCGCGGCGCGATGGTTAAAGAAGGAGTGAATTTGCATATTATAAGTAGTACACGTTACCAAGCCTCGATATCATCGGGCCGGGGAACCTCGTTATTCTGTATATGCGTACAATTCGAGCGTGTGGCAGGCATCTAGTACGATCTCTAACAACGTCGCCTCTCTGCGACGACGTTTCCAAGTTTTGAACTTTCGCGACTCAACCATAACGATCGACCATTTTATAACGGTCTTTTAACGATCTTTTAATAATGGAAATAATGACAAGCGACGTTCTTAGTTACAGCGATCGCGACAGTCTGGTTTAACAACTCAATCGTTTCGAGAGAAACTTGTTTCTAAATTTTTATTTACAATCAATCTTTATCATTAAATAAATCTCAATTTTTCTAATTTTTCTATGAAAGATTTCATAATTAGTTATTTTTTCTTGTAAAGTAATTAATTGTTTGAATTATTAAGCTTAAATTATCGCGAAGTAGAATGCATGATCGTTGCTATATAGAAAGACGGCGCGGAATCCTTGCAAGACGGTGTCCGGATTAAATGGATAGGCTCTCCTAGGGTCAAGTAGGACGTGGTCCTTCGTGCGGCAGGAGCTTAAGATATTGTTTTGAAGCAAGACTGTTGCCTTAGGATAATCAAGAAGACTTAATCCCAACAAGCTTAACGCCGATGAGTTCATAATTCTGGATGTACTTTCTCGTGAAAATCGTCTCTCTTCCTCGCTTTTACAATTTGTTCTTTATCATCATTATTTTATACTCGGTCCGTTTACTTCCATTTATTCTATTTATTTTGTTCAATATAGTAAGTTGAATCATTTTTCTTCACTTTTCGAAAAAATAAATCTGATTTATCACCACATTTGTGTAATTATTTAATGTTCCTTAAGGAATTTTTATTGTGATCAGTTTAGTCTTAGTTTAATTTGTGTATAATTCTTAGATTACAATTTCTTACAGCAATTCGCTACGCAATAAGTTTTTGTCATCGTAATTTCAAAACGAAATGACAAAAAAAGCCTGTCGATCTTTCCGAGTAAAAGAATTTCTTCGCACGTCTTGTCTTCGATGGAAAGTGTCGCATGCTTTAACGGGCAAATCGTTAAGGCATGCGACGAGGCTTGCTTAACGGGCGAGCTTAATTAATAAGGACACGCGATATCCTAACTCGTAAGACGATGGTAGGATGGTAAAGCATGCTGAAGCCCTCGGGAGTCCTTTGTTGTCGAGAGGGTCAGAACGGGCGACCTGCCACTTTAACCCGCCTTAAGGGGTTGCGCCTTGAGGAGTTTGAAACCTTACGAGTCTGAAACCTGATGGCCAGGGTCCAGAGAGATTTTCCACGATGAGCTGTATTTTGCACAAAGTTCTCGCAACGCAACTCGATCGATCGACTCAAGCGGACTACATATGCGACAAGATTTGTTGATCTTAATAAAAAACAATGTTTTTTACCTGCGGTTGAAGATGAGTCACTTGTCTCTTGATGTGCGCCAAGGTCGCGCTAGGCGGAGGATGCAGAGCCATGTTGGCAAAAACAAGCCTCTCTTCGTAGTCGTATTCACACAGTATCTTATTGTCGCATAGATAAAATCTGTCGCCCACGCAAAATCTGCAAAATAAAAAATCAATGCCGTCAAATTGAAGCGCGCGCTATAATGTTTTTGTAGAAAACTTTTACTTTAATATTTAAAACTATGTGCGTACAGATAATATAGATAATATAGAGAATCAATAGTCTAAACAATAACGATCGTTAAAATCGCAGATTCGCTGCTTATAAGCGGGGCAGATGGACGGGAAGCAATTTCGCTTACGAGAGTTGTACGAAGTAGGCAGAGCGGTAAATAGCGTGCTAATTCCTTTTAAGACCACTTTCCGTTCTGCTCCGCCGAGGAAATTGCTAGAAAATAAAAACAAGCGGCGAAATATTCGCTCTCGCCTCCATCTCCTTCGGCTTCTGCCGACTTTTAAATGTAAATTTTCAGTCGATTCGTAAGCATCGCGCTCGAATTACCGCGATTGGAAATCTCCGCAATTTTCTTCTTCTTCTTCTCTCTCTTACTGTATTACTGCCTATAATTCTCTTGCTATATTCTTTTCTTATATACGTATATCGCGCGATATCTTTGAGTTTTCTTTTTGTTTATGGTAATAAGAATTAGAATATTAAGTGACGCATTGTGTATCAGAATTACAGGAGTAAATTGATACGTGTCTGTTCTTTTTTTGATGAGTAATATCAGGAACGGCGCGACGAAGTGTATTTTAAAATTCAGCGTATAAAAAGTGCCGGGATTTTGAAGTAATCCAACACGATATACATACCGCCGCTGCACGCGGATTTCGAGATGGCGGCGAGGCGCCGAACGTGCTCGGCTTGCGATATCAGAGAAATAAGGTTGCCACCGGGAAGGTTATACGCATCGACCAACTGTCGCCCCCGCGCGCGGCGGGGCCTTTAAAATCAAAGATTTCACATTTTTCGTTTTTATTGCCGGTTTAAAAGTCAATTTTTTCTCTACCGCGTTCTTTCGAGCTAGGCGGAGAAGCGTCCGCATAAAAGGGACGGTTACGCCGGAAATGCTAAAGAGCCATGAAAACGGGTTCGTCGAGGGCGGTCGGCGTTTCTACAATAGATCGGAGATCCGCGAGGGACACGAAAATCGTTTCGTCGGGATCCATGGGGCTTGAAAATTCCTGTCAGGCGCCGGGAACATCACTCTCCGCAAGTTATACGTAGCGCGGGTATATCGATCGCGATATGACGGGCGTGTTCGCGCGATTTGTCTTGCGGAAGAGCTCGCAAAACTTCAAATTCTTTGAACATGTCAAATCCCTCAGATATTACTAATATGTACAACATAGATCCGAGAAGAATCGATCTTTGTTTTCTCATTTTTCTCGAGTTCGTTTTATCACGCAGTTTTAATTTTTTTATTTAATTTTGCATTTTTATAATTTATCTGTAATTCTGCATTGTTTTTTTTGCTCTTTGTAACATTTAATAGCACAAATAAAATATGTATAATAAAATTATATATATATATATATATATATATATATATATATATGAATTGTATGTTTAACATTTCCTGTATCTGTAACATTATCTATATCTTAAGAGAAAATGTTCAAATACTCTTAATTAAATGATATATTGACAAATATCAAGAAACAAAATATACTACTCGATTTACCGATAAAAGAGGCAGCTATTGTTTTTGAAGAAATTGCCGATCAGCGGTGAAAATTCTGCGATAATATAAATGCCGAAATGAAACACGCACCGTCGTCTCACCGTTTCGTACTTCGCCGGTGAATAATAAAAGCATTTTTTGGCAACAGTAGACGAGCTTGTACATTGGCTACATACGGCTATTGCGTATTCAACGAATGTGCTGTCCCGCGCTGGAATCCTGTTTGGATTTTATGTCGGGATTTCTTTGCCGAGTGGTTTATACCGGCGCTTATGTAAATGCGCAGACGTGATTTTTTTCAGCACCTACTCTCGAGCCACCTGAACGAGCGCGCGTCGCATTCGTAGCATTCGAAACGAGCCGAGTCGTCGTCTTCTTCTTCCGAAAAGATCATGAAATCGCAATGAGATTCTACGAATTACGAGATCGTATCCTGCGGAATCTGCATTTTTGTTTACAGCGGACTCAGCGATGTGTTTTCAATATGTCGATAAGTAGCTCGGGGTGAGAAATCAGAATGCTAAGTTATATAAAATTGAGTATCTGATATATCTTCTTATATTTTTTTCTATACATTATTATTTAAAAAAGACGTTTACCTTTATACGTTTATATACACCCACACAGAGAAAAAACTCCATTAGATGTCTATTAGACGTCAATAGCTCCATGAGATATCTAATAGATGTCTAACGGAGATTTTGTTCTATGCGGAAATGACCTATATACAAGATGTCCACAAAGTCTGGAAACACCCTTATATTTTGAAAACGGTTGGAAATTATGAAAAATCGCGAAATATGTGTTTAATCGTTTCGAGGGGCTACTCTTTTAAGGGGATTGCGGATGTTGCCCCCGAGGGGACTCTCTAGGAGGCCCTCCAGAAGACTCCTCTCAAAATTTTTAAATCTCCTATTGTAGTACATCATTTGAAAGGACATAAGAAAAGAAACGTTTTGGTTCAAATCAGAAGTTGATACATTGAGCCGTTTAGGAGTTTTTCAAAGTCAAAAGTCCGAAAAAAAGTCAAGTCTCAAAAAATCGTAAAAATCTTACTAAAAGCAAACTTTATTAGGACTGAGAGATAACTTACCTATTAAAGTAGCTGTTCAAAAAATGAGCACCGTTCACTTCTTAACAATAAAATAATTGATCACGAAACTGTAATTCTTATTCCAATTCAGTTTCCATTGCGATAGTAGTTATTCCGTTACAATTTCACATTGGTAATAAGATATTCAATAGATCATGTATTCTGCGATGCTTAATCATGCGTAATCCATGTGATTCGAAGCGCGCTTGAAGTCGCGTAGAATCCACAATAGTTACAATAAGATTAGTATTAAGCGATTATAGTAATAAGCGATACGACTTAGTTTTCGGCTGCGTTCATTATGGATTGTGATCGATTCGCACGTTCTGCTGAAGATAAAATAGAAATTATTTTTCTTTACAAAGAGTGTGGTCGCAATTACCGTGCAACAATGCGACGCTTTAATGAAATTAATCCAGAACGTCCAAAAAATTGCGCTTACGTTTACAAGCTTGTAACAAAATTTCGAGAAACACAAACTGTTAAAAGACCGGTCACGCTCTGGAAGGCCAAAAATAGACAATGTCACAGAATTGGAAATAATAGGCCGTCGTGGCCCAATTGAATGGCCAGAGCGCGCTCACCTGATCTGGCTCCCAACGATTTTTTTTCTATGGAACTATTTCAAGTCGATAGTGTACAAAACTGCCCCTAATGACGTTGAAGATCTTAAGAAAAGAATTACGGCAGCTTGTGTAGAGACATATCCAATAAAACATTTCAGAATGTAAGACAGGAATTTTATGATCGATTATTTTATTGTCAAGAAGTGAACGGTGCTCATTTTGAACAGCTACTTTAATAGGTAAGTTGTCTCTCAGTCCTAATAAAGTTCGCTTTTAGTAAGATTTTTACGATTTTTTGAGACTTGACTTTTTTCGAACTTTGACTTTGAAAAACTCCTAAACGGCTCAATGTATCAACTTCTGATTTGAACCAAAAGATTTCTTTTCTTATGTCCTTTCAAATGACATACTAGAATAGAGAGAGTTTCATTTAAAAATTTTGAGAGGGATCTTCTGAAGGATTCCTGGAGGGTCCCCTCGGGGTGTGGCAACATCCGCAACCCCTTTAAAAGAGTAGCCCCTCGAAACGATTAAACACGTATTTCGCGATTTTTCATAAGTTCGAACCGTTTCCAAAATATAAGGATGTTTCCAGACTTTGTGAACACCCTGTATAATTAAAAAATAATCTCAGGTGGTTGAGAGATTTTTTTAGATTCTCTCTCTCTCTTTCTCTCACTATAACTAGAAACAAATGTTCTCAACATAACTTTCCCGATTGTTGTGTAACTTTGATTCTATTTCTACCACCATTCAGACAGTTTAATTATTATTTATTGTTAGAGTGTTCAAAAAGATAAATGCAAACGATTACAAATACATACATTGCCTTGCATTGGAGACTCGAAATAACTAGCGATAAATCTATATTTGGTCCCTGACTGGCGACGACATAATTGAGCTTAAAATATCTTTTTGATCGACATATGAATATACGACATCTTGGTCGATAACCGCACGTGCGCGTAAGTATTGGGAAAATTGTAATATGCATATAAATATGCTTCTTTATTACTTAATGAAATCAGAATACTGTCGAGAAATCGAGATGCATCAGTGATTATAAGCAAAAAAATTTAATGTCCGCTATCGTTCACCCTCATTGATTCAACGAACGAATTAATTAGTCAATTACGATGAATGATTTTACAAAAGAAGCTTAATGCTTTTCTACAATATAAAGAAAAATTTAGGATCTTTTTAAAATTCTAAAAATTTTAAAAAGATCCTAAATTTTTTATCGTGCTCAGATTTAATGATAATAATATGATTCACGATAAATAATTGAAAAATGCGAATGTAGAGTGCGGCGAATAAATTATAAGGCATGTGTGTGTGTAGCGAATTAGAGGAAAAATAGAAAGATAAGTTAGATTTAAGTTAGTATTTAAGATAGATGTAAGTTAGCTTATAAAGTATTGAAGATGTTAATTGTTTTCTTTTGTGATTTGTATGTATACAATGCAACCCTGCCGGTAGACAATAAATGTTTTATCTTTCTATCTATAATTCACGATAAATTCACGATAAATTCACATTATGTGAACGATCTATTTATATAAAAATGTTTTATGTACTTATTTTATGTTACAAGTGTCTTATTTCACGAAAAAATAAAAACAATAGGGAATAAAGAGAGACAAACAAAAGAGTGAAAAGAAAGAGAGCGAGATTAAACCTGTGCGCGCGATTGGAACATCCAGTATGAACCACCATAAAAAGCAATGCGCCCTCATAACGGGGCACGATAAGT